TGTCCCTTGAGACTGCCAAACTCCTGGTCACCCATGTGTTCCGCCTACATGGAATCCCTCAAGACCTAGTTTCTGACCGTGGTCCACAATTCGCCTCCCAGGTTTGGCGAGCCTTCTGCCAGGCCTTGGGCGCTTCTGTCAGTCTATCCTCAGGTTACCACCCACAATCCAACGGCCAGACAGAACGGGCTAACCAGCAACTGGAGGCTGCCTTGCGCTGCGTCGCCGCCCGACATCCGGTCTCCTGGTGCACATTTCTTCCGTGGATCGAATATGCTCACAACTCCCTCACCTGCGCTGCCACAGGTATGTCCCCATTCATGGCAGCTTATGGTTTTCAACCTCCGTTGTTCCCATCTCAGGAAGGGGAGGTGGCGGTCCCGTCAGTACAGGACCACCTGCGCCGCTGTCGCCGGATTTGGACTGAGGCTCGTGCAGCCCTGCTTCGGACAGCGGCTAGAAACCAACGCCCGGCGGACCGCCACCGACTCCCTGCCCCCGACTACACACCTGGTCAGAAGGTATGGCTGTCTCTCGAGACCTGCCATTGCAGGTAGAGTCTCGAAAGCTGGCTCCACGATTTATGGACCTTGAAGTGGACAAAATCATCAATCCGGTGGCGGTGAGGTTAAAACTCCCTCCGTCGCTACATGTGCATCCTGTGTTTCACGTATCTCTCCTGAAGCCTGTCTCCTCCAGCCCTCTGTGCCCTCCGGCCGACCCCCTCCGCCCCCCGGCTCATCGACGACCACCCAGCCTACACAGTTCGCCAGATCCTGGACGTCCGACGGCGGGGCCGGGGTTTCCAGTACCTGGTGGACTGGGAAGGGTACGGGCCGGAGGAGCGTTCTGGGTTCCCGGCACTTCATCCTGGATCCCTCCCTTCTTTCGGACTTCTACCGGTCCCATCCTGACAAGCCCGGTAGGCCGCCAGGAGGCGTCCTTGAGGGGGGGTACTGTCATGGCTCCGCTCCCCTCCTGCTCCCTTTGCTCCTCCCCCCTTCCCTGTGTGCCTGAGGGTGCGGCCTCCATTCTCCTCACCTGCTGTCTCACCTGCTCTCAATCATTCATCATGCCTCAGCCTTCAAGAACCCGGTTTTCCTCCCACTCATCGCCAGATTGTTTCAGCCTATGTGGTGGTAACTCTCGTGGCTCCCTTCAGTATTTAGTTAAGCGATTCAAGCTCTCTTGTGTTTCCCCTGTGCGTGTCCCCTTGTCTAACCGTTTCTCTCCCGTGCCCCAGGGTCCCTTGTGCTGTTTGGCTTCCTGTGTCCGCTCTCCTGTGCCTCTGTGTCTCCGGTCTCTTCCGCCATCTCACCCACCCGTTCCTGCTCTGGCCGCCCCTCATCCCCCCTGTGTGTGTGCGTGTGCGTGGAATAAAACCCCCTTTAAACCTTCCATACTGTCTGGGTGTCTGCTCCTGGGTCCAGTCCCAACACCAGCCTTGTCACAGACGAGCATTTAGTCATGAAAGAGTCTTCTGGGACAGGTCAGACCCATTGGCTGTTGGAGATGACTATCTCATTGAGAGATACAGATTCTCAGGTGATGGACTAAGATATTTATGTAGGCTGCTGGGTCCAAAAATACAGCACCAGACGGCAGGAAGCCATGCTCTCACTGTACCACAGATGGTCTGTGTTACATTGAGATGTTTTGCAAGTGGGAGCTTCCTTTATTCTGTTGGGGATGCAGAGAACCTCAATAAAGGGACCATTTGCAGCACCCATATCCTGGCTTGGTGGGCCCCCTGTGCCAGTTCTATGGGCTTTTTAACTGCTACAATCATACAGACATTCAACAAGTCAGCAGATACCTAATCTATTCACCTCATTTGTTCACTGTTATCTACTTTAAAGTCACTTTCCAGCCTGCAAAATGTTCTTGTATTTAACTTTAACTTGCTGCCAGGTCCTTTTATGGCCAGACAAGTTGGTTCTTTATGAAGGATAGAAAGATAAAATAGATAAAAATAGATTAAATGACACACATTGTGGATAATTGTTTGCACTTAATCATACTTTACATTTTCTGAGTAACATGAACCTCTACTTGCCACATTTAAAGCAAAGTGTACAACAGTTGATTAGTGGACTTAAAGTAACTCCTTTAGTCCTTTAATTGTAGCCTAATTATGACAGTTCCAGTGGAGCACTGTTTATTCATTGTACAGTTTTGGACTACTTAAGCATTAAGCCGGTCCGCTATTGTCTGCCAGGCTTTCTCTCTTTCTTTAATTATGGCATTGGTATTGCCTTTTTTCTTCTAGCTTCCACCTCTTCATAGAACTCCATCAGCAGCTGTTTTCAGCGGCCGTGAAATACGAGCGTGACTCTATCCATGTTCCCATCGGTGATTCTGTGAGCGATCGCGAGGTCTATTTCAGTATGCCGTGAACACGCACTTATCCCGACTATCTACACCTGGCTTAACATAGCCGCGCCTTTTCATCCTGGCTCGGCAAACGCAACCGATTAAGCCAGGATGCGCCGAGCAGGCTAAGTCAGCCGCGCTTGCTCACTTATCCTGGATTTCTTTATCCTACTTTTGTGCAATACCCCACAGGTCTTTTTCCGTTTCTGTTTTCTAGTGATTTTATTTTTTGTTATATGAAATAGAAAATAAAATCGAAATTTTTTTAATTTCGCTCATCCCTTTTGACCACGAAAAGAAAAACGCCTTGTATTTCAATTTTAATTTTTGTATTTTAAAACGAAAATCAAATAACCACTCGTTTTCTGTTCTTTAATATCCGTTTCTGAAAGGAAAATCCAATGACCAAAAGATACACGGACCGTAGAGAGTTTGACCACAGCTTCTGTGTAAATGTGGATGTTAAAGCAGCCGTCTAACCTGTTTTGCAGGTAATCCGTACATAAATAAAGCTTTTGCCAAGGCATGAACACTATGAGGAAATTTAAGAGAGGGAAGAATCAGGCTACTTTTAGCCTGTTGGCAGTGTTGTTGTTGAATGGTTCGTGGAATTTCCAACATTATTTACTTCAGTTCACATGACGATAATGAAGAAGAGCAGACTTCCCTTTTAATTTACTCAAAAGGTGAACGGTAAAATTAGTCCAAATTTAAAATGGTTCTAGTTTGGGTCATTTTATTCAAATGTATTAATTTTCATTAGAGAACATTGTTTAATTGTGTAGTCAGTTTTTCATGTGTACTTTGTTTTTTATTTGTATTTATGTCTCCTTTGTTTCTGATCGGTTCACTTCCTGTCTTTGTGTGTCTTCCCACTGTTTGTAATTGTTTGCCCAGCCCTGATTATCTGCACCTGTGTCGAATTAGTCTACCTGTAGCGTATATACTCCCTGTGTTAGTTGTCTTTGTACCCTTGTGTCTACAGTTCCAGCTTTCAGTCGTGTTGTTTGTTATCCTGGTTTGTGGGTTGCTACCTGTTGTTTGACCCGGCGTCTGCCTCGGTGGCAGTTTGGATTTGTTTGTTGTTGTTTTCTTCCTGGACTTCTGTGTACCGAACCCGTTTCCTGTCAACTAAGGATCTTTCTGTTTTTTAATAAAAAGATCCTGTGTGTGAAGTCTTGCATTTGGGTGCTACTGCTTGTGGTTCCACCTGTCATAACATTCAAGACCCTCGCCTTGCTCAGAGCTCATCCTTACCATTCATTCACTTTCATTTTAAAGTTTATCTTATCATTTTAATATAGTCACCTACAAGCTCCCATAATGAAAGTTACAACCAGACACTTTTTAATTTAGTGAGTATGTGGAAGTATCCCAAGTACCACGAGCAGGACTGGGCTGTGAGGTGATTTTGGTGCAGTGACCACAGTTGGTGGATTTAAGGAGCCCAGACGAGTTTTTTCTTTAAACAAAAATGTATTTATGCTTGAGATCCAACAAATGTTTTTAATTCCTTCCACATTTACAAGGCAGATGTAAACCTGCATTGTTTACATTCATGTTTCTTGTTGCTTCACCACCACCTGTATTCAGTAATGCCACCACCTTTAAATGTGATATCCAGTTCTACGTGCATGGAGCAGCCCTGTGTGTAATTTGAACTGGCTCTGGTACTGTGACTGAACAGCTGTTGATTTAACTTGTTTTCTAAAGTCAAAACTTTTAGAAAGGAAATCAAAAATACAAGTGGTCTCATCCTTGGAAAATATCTTTTAAAATGTTAATGTGGTTTTTATGATCCCCAGAAATGATATTAATTGATAAAGCTCGGTCTAAAATGTGAAGGCCACTGTTAATTAATTTAATTTCTCTGCACCCATTGTCTGTAATATCTGTTGCTGTCGGTGCGTTCAAGTGCAATAAATTATATTTGTTTCATGAACAAACTTTAGAAACCTTTTAATACAGCTATGAACAATTTCTCCCTGAACACCTAAGTTCACCCCACATCCACCACCACCACCGGTAGCAAATGTTAAGATGGTGAAGATGGTAAATGTTACCTGCTAAACATCAACATGTATTGTCATTATGAGCACATTAGCATGCTGTCATTAGCATTCAGGTCAAAGTTGACGTGTCTATGTATACACAGCTGCAGGGTTGTGAAGGTTTACTATTATTGCTACTAATTACTATTAATTGCCTGTCAATGTAGTCAGAAACCTAATCCGAGTATCATTAAAGTAATGTAACTTCTTCACTTTCTGTTACTTTCGATTATCTCAACAGCAAATATGCAAAGAAAGACAAGAGAAAAGAAACAATGAGAAGACTTTTACTAAAGACAACAATGTAACCCTGAAAGAAAATGTGTCCTCTGCTCAATGTAATTTTAAAGAAAAACTTTCTTCTCATTTAAACAAATTCAGTTAATATTCTATAGACCATTTTCATTACTGGAGCAACAAAACCAGCTACTTGCAGCAGCTGGAAACTGGAGGTTGATAGGAACAGAAGAATCTTTAGGCTGGAAAATTAAAACGAGGCTAAAAGGCTCCACAGAGTTTGAGGAGAAATACTGAAATATTAATGTAGGCCACAACACTGATGGAAGGAAACAACAATTATTACTGAGATGTAGGTTTTTATTCTTTTACAGTGCTTTGTGCTTTTGTGATAATCCATTGTAATTATATATATGGAACATATACAATCAAAGTCAGCAAAGGATAGAAATGAGCACATAGCCCAAACCATTGTATTTGAGTTCTCACTGAATCCCCGAAGGCTTCTCCGACTTAAAGTGTGTGCTCTGGATAAAACACCTGCAGGACAAATTCATTATTGAAGCGGATGAATGACATCCAGCCACAAATGTTTCAGACAAACTGACAGAGAGGTGATTGTTAAATGTAAAAGCCTACCTCAGTTGTTGGCACCAAAACACGTTCTGCAATTAGAAAAGAAAAATATAAAGACGAGGTGGAAAAATCAGTGTTAATCTCAATATTAATCAGAATAAATCTCTCACCAGAAGATTTCTTCTTGTAGTAAAGCAGTCCAGCAACTGAAAAGACCAGACCGAGCAGCAGCCCTGCTGTCCCAACAACAATCTTATTGGTCCCTGAGTCAGCCGTGGGCTCTGAAAACACAGTTACCACAAACAATGAATTTTATCTCTGCTGTCTACTGTTCCTCTGCACAGTGCTGCTGCATGAAAATGTGTTATAATTTTAATTTATAACATCAAATTCATAGGTTATATGTCTGCTATGGTACCTAAGATTACTAGTAATATCTAATGCTGGAAAAGTATTCTTTAAGGAAGTAAAATGACCTCAAAATTACACTTCAGTACAGTATTTGAGTAAATGCAATAAATATCTCATTGCTTGAGATTTAAATAGTAATTTCTACATCACCTGTCCACATGCACACTCTCTTACCCCAGTCATAAAGCTTGGGCTCCATGAGGCTGGCGTGCTTCACCATACAGGTGATTTTCTCTCCTGGTCTGGGTGTAAACTCCAGAAAGGAGTGAATCTGGTAGAGCCAGTTCCCATTGGGCAGTTCATCAGTGGACATCACATCAGATGTCTCCTCCTGTCCATTCCTCAGCCAAGTCAATCGGATCTGTTGAGGATAAAAGTCGTACGCACTGCAGACCAGCATGCCTGGATGTCTGCTGTCCACTGCCTCAACTGACCTCAGCCAAACAGACGGCTCGACTGGAGGAAGTTAGCACAAAATACAACATTTTGTCATAAAAGAGCACTTATTTTACTCATTTTATACAAGTTCCCTTTGAAGCAAAAGTTCAAAATGTTTGGATGAAATTTTGATGTTGAGAACTATGCTCATATTATACTATTTATAAGACTATTTAAAAAACAAACAAGCCGATAGAGCTGTGTGTTACGTCCCCCAGTCAAGCATCTGTAGCTGTTATGGACTGTGATAATCACCTGTGTAGAGCAGGGAATTATAAACCAGTGGGGAGCTTCTTGTGCAACGGTCTGTTTTCCATTTCCCCAAATTCACATAATCTGGATCGTTGTTGAGTTTATCTGCAATTTTAATTGCTTCCTTTGTGTAGCCCATAAGTTTCCCCAAAGTGCCGTTGTATAGGGCCAACAGCCTCTTGTTTAAGTAGAACTGCTCCAGGTACACAGCATCATGACCATCTGGTGAACTGAACCGACAACGAGCCAAATATTGACCGTAGAGAGCATCTGTCAAAATAATACCAACAGATATGAGTTGATATAGATACTTATTTGTAATGTCTTTAATCTTCATTTGATATTCTCACACATCTCTAAAGCTAAAACTGTGAACTGGAGTTCTTCTGTCTTATGGGTTATGGGTCGTGTATCTTTTGGTCAATCGATTTTCCTTTCAGAAACGGGTATTATGGTAAATTATGGTATTTAGAACAGTAAGCTATAATTCGAACCTACATTTAAAATAAAATATGTTACATTAAAGTGTTTAATGCGCCCCTGATGAATAAAAAATACTTTATATCAAGTAGCTTTACTGCACCAGTGTGTAGAAATGCCAAAAAAGTCTTTATTATATTTTATAATATTTGACCATATTTGAGGTACTGTAAAAACATGTTGCTCAGTGTTTCCTGGCTACTGATGGTATATTTGACTTTTACACATATGAGACTACAAGCATACCTAATTTCAAGCATTTTTACTGTACCAATTTGGAGAAATTCAACAATAAAAGTCCCATATTTGTACCTCCAAGTGGCATATTTTCATATATTTGAGCTACTGTAAAAACACTTTGCTCAATAATTCCTGACTATGGATGGTATATCTTACTTCTACACATCTAAGCATGCTTAATATCAAGCATTTTTACTGTACCAATGTGGAGAAATTAGACAATAAAAGTCGTCCATATTTGTACCTCCAAGTGGCAATTTAAATTTTTGTATTTTAAAACGAAAATCAAATAACCTCTTGTTTTCTGTTTCTAATACCCGTTTCTGAAAGGAAAATCGAATGACCAAAAGATACACGGACAGTTATGTTTTACATTCTTACATTTCTGACATAATCTAACAAGTGAATATTTGACTACTTGAACAGCAACTGCAAATGTTACCTACCTGCTCTTGAAAATGCCAACAGGAGAGTAAAGAAGACGAGAGCCCGAGACATGTTGTCATGTAAATGACGGAAAGGAAACTAGTTAAAGTTGATTCTGAGTTTGATAAACAAGGAAGTTCAATTTCAGGTTCATAAACAGCATTTTTCCCCAAGTGGGTGTGGAAATAGTGTCAACCTCATTTAGATTCCACGATCATATTACTGCAGGTCACATCACTACTTCCTTTTTCTTTGCATGCAATCTCTCTCTATGTAGTACCAGGTTTAGATGAACAACTCAGATTTATTTACTCTTTATATTTAAGTAAAAGTACCAATGCAATAATGTAAAAACACTGCCTCGAGAACAGATTTGCATTAAAAAAAACGAAAGTAAAAGTACTCATTATGTATGAAGAATGGCCTGAGTCGTCAAAATAGAGCTAATTTTAACAGCATGTCTGCAAAGAGGAGACTCGTAGGTTCCCAAAGACCCACAAGTCATGCTGTGCCATCAGTCTGCACCTTGCATGGCAGCCTCTGCCCTCATCATCCACCATGTGAGTGGGTGAATGTGACTTATAGTGTGAAGCTAAAGACTAGAAAAGTGCTATATATGTATATAAGTTTATATTTACCATCCACCTACTGGTGAAGTTGCTCTTGATTTTTTCCAGTTTCATGTCAAAGAATAGTGAACAGATTTATTTGATCTATTTATTCAACTAGAACTTATTCATATATAATAAAGAGTAATAATCCTCCACTGCACAGTACACATTTATCTCCACTGATTTATTTATAATGTTGTGTTAAGAACAAACAAGGTTTTATAATGCATTTTTTGCAAGTTTACGCAAATAAATGTAGTAGTAACAGATATCCTGTAGCATACTTACATTTTCCATGAATATATATATGCAATATATGCTTTATTTAAGAATATAAAGCACATATTTAAGCTAGGATATACATGATGATTATACAGTGTTTGTAATTCATTAAATATGAATGGGTGCAGTCTAATGTGTTCCTTTTGAATGTTAACAATCTTCCTATATTCATATTATTATCCATGGTGTCCTTTGGCAATGAAAAATACTCCAACTGCAACTCCCAACAAGCCCACAGTCAGACCCACTCCACAGAAAATATCTGGTCCAAGACCGGGAGGAGTCACTTCAGGTTCTGGGGAGGAAGTTAGAAAGGACATGCATCATTACAGGTAACAACAAAACATTTCATTTTGTATTTTTAATTGCCCTCATGAGGTAAAAAACTCACCCCAGATCCTTGTCTTAGGGCTGTCCAGAGCTGAGTGCTCCACAGTGCAGCTGTACATGTCACCCTCCCTCGGTGTGAACGTCAGGGTTGAGAACTGGTGGAAGGTCTGATCATTATTGGGATAATATCGGCTGAGTGACACCCCTTCTGACACCGGACGACCATTTTTAGTCCAGCTGACTTTAATATCAGGTGGGTAGAAATGATTCACAAAGCAGGTGAGGCTGTTTTCAACTCCCAACTCAACTCTTTCTGTAGGGTAGAGGATGCTCTCAGGGGGGTCTGTAGTGGGTCAGAAGACAATTAAAACCCTTCAGCATTTTATAAATCATATCACTGATAAATGTTGAGGTTAATTTACCTTTTTCTTCTGGTGGATTTTTCTCTTCTGCTGCGGCGACAGCAGTTATACCTAAACATAGTTCCCTATTTGTCACAGCATCTTCTAGTATTCTCGCATAGGTCTGCCCCTGAAAAATCAATCAAGTCATCAGTCAAGAAGACCTCGAATCGACTCACATTTTGTCAGTCAAATCAAAGCTCTTTTAATTATTACTACAGAGTAATGCAGGAGCAAGAGCGTGGCTGCCTGTAAACTTTACAAACAGAGTCTGAAATTGACCAAAAGCCACAAAATTAAATTTCAATTCAATTCAATTTTTTTTGTATAGCGCCAATTCATAACAGAAGTTATCTCAGGACACTTTTCAAATAGAGCAGGTCTAGACCGAACTCTTTATAACATTAATTACACAGACCCAACAGTACCACCATGAGCAAGCACTTGGCGACAAGGGCAAGGAAAAACTGCCTGTTAAAAGGCAGAAACCTAGGACAGATCCTTCCGCTCTAGGTGGGTGGTTGTCTGTCTCGACCAATTGGGGTGAGAGAGAGAGAGAGACAGAGACAGACAGACAGACAGGTGCACAGTAACAACAGTATTGGCAATGGCAATCTAGCAGGACCATAGCAGGAGGCTCCAGCGGGATCCATAAGAACCTGCGAGACGAGAAAGCACAAGAACTCCGGGGAAGAAGTGAAGTTAGTAACATGCATTAATGGGACATGAATGAGTGCAGAAAGAGAGAGGAAGAGAGGAGCTCAGTGCACCATGGGAAATCCCCCGATGGTCTAGACCTATAGCAGCATAACTAAGGGATGGTTCAGGACTCACCTGATCCAGCCCTAACTATAAGCTTTATCAAAGAGGAACGTCTTAAGCCTACTCTTGAATGTGGTGAGGGTGTCTGCCTCCCGAACCACAGCTGGAAGCTGGTTCCACAGGAGAGGAGCTTGGTAACTGAAGGCTCTGGCTCCTGTTCTACTTTTAGAGACTATAGGAACCACAAGTAGCCCAGCATTCAGAGAACGTAGTGTTCTAGTGGGGTAATAGGGTACTATGAGCTCTTTAAGATATGAAGGGGCCTGACCATGAAGAGCTTTATAGGTGAGAAGGAGGATTTTAAATTCTATTCTAAATTTTACAGGGAGCCAATGCAGAGAAGCTAGTACAGGAGAGATGTGATCTCTTTTTCTAGTTCCTGTCAGTGCTCGTGCTGCAGCGTTCTGAATTAATTGGAGCGTTTTAATGGACGTGATGAAGAAGGGTGAATGAAACTGAGGACAGCGTGATGTCTGTTGGCTGCGTTGACACTCTCTTCGTACGATAGACGATGTCAGGGAAACAGAGCGCTATCATGACAGACAACACCTTTTCAGCCCTCCTGGTTCAGAGGTCTAAAGGGTGGACTCGTCAGTCCAATAGGGACATAGAAGAATAGGTCAGTCAGGTCTATAAATGTCATCCAGTCACCTGGCTAAATGGACTCCAGCAACTGCTTTACTGTCAGCATGCGAAAAGATCTCTGCGCTATACTTTAAAGGAGTGTGGCGTTGAAACAAATCTTTGTATTAACAACAAATCCGAATCGGCCCTGTACAAGGAAACAAGGATATTACTAATATAGAGTACTCAAACCTACCACAATTTTATCTGGATCAGGACCAATAAGTCTGGGCACAGTGTACACAATGTCCTGTTTTTGGAAATCCACATATAAAATCTCCTCATTATCAAATTCAAACAGCACCTCAGTTGTGCCGTTCACAAAGCAGCCCACAACATTGACAAATTCATGGGGAACTGAAAAACAAGGAACAAGAAATAAAATCAGTCACATGTTGGAAAAGTTACAGCTTCTAATGTTTGTGGTTTGTTTCAGGCACTGATAAGCAGACAAACATAGTAATACATCAACAATACAACAATATATTTTTATGTTTACATAAAATTACTATCAATGTTAGAATCTTACTTTGTGAGAAGGCACAGAAGCTGTTGAGCGTCAGGATTATGAGAGCAGAGCGCTGCATGTCGGAGTAGATCTTCATGGTTCAAACTCTCTGTTAGAGTCTGAATGGAGCATTGTTTCATTTGTTACCAATAAGGAAACAAATACAATCACATGACCAGATCAGGTGGAAAACATGGGCAAAGTAAAAGAGTAAAAACGTAACCAGAGAAAATACAGTCAGTTTAAGTTAACTATACTTCAACTGTACTATTATGAATTAGAAAAGGATCAGATTGAAATAAATCTCAAACAAAATCACTTTGTAGAGAGTTTGTTCTGTGTAAATGTGGATGTTAAAGCAGCCGTCTGACCTGTTTTGCAGCTAATCTGTACATAAATAAAGCTTTTACACGTGCCAAGACATGCATCAAAGACATTAATTTTCCATCACAAGAGTTCCCAACATCTTTTTCCAAAGCACAAACAAGTACAAAATGTCAAGAATGATGAAGGAAGTATTTCCATTGTGGTCTCTGGAGTAAAAATAAAGATGTAAAGTAAAGATGAGTTTGGCTTACATCATTCTACCAACAAATGAAAGCAATAAATACCAGTTATCATCAGTAAAATCACTCAAATAGAACAAGGTAAGATAATTTATGAATAAGACAGTGTGAGCTAAAAACTAATGCCCACAGTGACAATGCTAACATGCTAGTGTTTAACAGGTTTTATGTTCTTCATCTTAGTTACGCATGTTAGCAATTAGCACCAAACACAAAATACAGCAGAGGTTGATGAGAATGTCATTACTTTTGTAGGTATTTGGTCTTAAAACAATGTGTTAGACAATTTTGACCTGATGGTTGCGATACTAAAGTCAGCAGATCAGTGAAGTGATTACAGTTTATCTTGAGGGGAGCTTCAGTTTCATGGCAATCCATCCAACAGCTGTGAAGATATAAACCAATATTATATTTTGGAAAAAGTCAAATGGTGCTAGAGGAAATGTAGGGAGGATTCGTCCTCTGGGAACAATGAATTCTGAACGATTTCTGTACAAAACTTCATGGAAATCCATCTAATCGTTGTTGAGCTGTTTTTCCTCGAATAATGGAGAAAAATCTAAATTGGTCAGCCTGGTCATTAACCATCATTAGTGTCATTGGAAACATGTGTTTACTTGACTAGTTCATGTCAAAATGACTGCTGTGAAAAAAGTCTATAAAACTGTAAATTAGATAGTATACGGTGGGGAGAGTGACACTTTGTGCCAATTAAGCTTGAGATCCTGGTACCATTTTGTGTCTAAGTAACACAATAGGTATTTACTTTTGGCCCCTTTTAAGTTTCAGTTTGGCCAACCAAGGGAAAAAGTTTGAACAGTCCCAATCTATACTGTAGACTGTTAATATTGAAGAATGTCAAATTGAGTAGTCGTGAAAAGTAATCAAGTTATATTACTTTAATTTTGTGATACTTGGATTAGGTAACTGACTACATTTTTAAAAGGGAATTTAATAATTGTATTAGATAAAATTTTTAAAGTAACCCACTTAACCCTGGTTTTGAGTCTCCATAATTTTGAACCAAAAATTAAGACAATGGCAGTTTGTAACTATTTTGTAGTGAAAAATCACAATCAGAATCACTTTTATTGGCCAGGTTTATGCACACATACAAGGAATTTGACTCAATGTACACAGAAAAGCATAAATAAACAGGACAACAAGCTATTCAATTGTACCTTGTCTACATTTGTAGATAGTAGACGGTGCAAAGGATGCTGAAATAAATATGTACGTGCAGGTGTTTTTATGTAGACTACATGAGATATAGGTGGATATGACAGTATATACAATATGCACAGCATGCATATGTGATTGAATTATTGTATTTATGTTTTATTATTATTTAAATAAATAAATAGTAAGGTTACTGCACTGTCAGAGTGATGGCCTGTGGGTAATAAAATGGCACAAAACAAGCTGTAGGAAACCTTCCATCATTTGTCCGGCAGGTGGCGCCGGAGGTCCGCGGATGGTAGCGGTGCTGCTCATGGAAGAAGCCGCCTGTTGGTGCTGTTCTGGGGCATGTGGCTCAGAGGAATGGGGCCGTCTTCCTCTCTGACCCTGGCCCGTCGATGAAAAAAAAAAAAAAAAAAAAAAAAAGCCCGACCGAGCGGCAGTAGGGCTGGGGATGCACAACGGGGCAGGAGAAACACGGCTTTACAGGCGATATATCAGTAATGCTGATGCCGCTGAACATGGAGTATCGCCTCGTTTGCGGAGTAAAGCGAGTGTCGGTTGATGTGTCGGTTGATGTGTCCGTTGATGTGTCCGCTCAGTGAGTTTGTTAGAGCCAGACGTTACTTTCCGTTTTTTAACCGTTGATACATCTGCAATGATGCGGGCTGTGGACGGGAGAGGAACCGCTGCGATTGTACTCTGCCTTTTGGGATCCCTTGTGTCCAAAGCTGTCAGCAAAACATTACCGGAGGACACAGCCACAGAAGGTAAAAAAATAAAAAAAATTATAAAAAGTGCTTTTAAACATTTTTATTTTGCTTTGGGTTTTTTTTTTTAAATCAAACAAACGGCTAGTTAGCGGCTATTCTCGGTGGCTAATGCAGCCGCTAGCCTGCTCGGATGCTGATGTGACCTAAAGTTAGCTAACGCTAGCAAGTTAGCTGGTGGCAAACTTCTCTCAAATGTGTTGTTTTACTGCCTCGTTTTATGTCCTTTCCAACTAAACCATTTCCCAGCCTCGTGTAGTCATATATGTGTAGTTTGTTAGTGGCAGTGACAGTAAAACATGCCCTCATATTGTCCACAATAATGCAGCAGTGGGGGGAGTCCAGCTGCTGTGATTTGTCATTTTTATCCATCGTCGCTTCATGTCAGAAAAAACACCCAACAACATGTCACAACAACAATAGTGCCAAAGCATTAAGAATCATCAGTGAAACTAAATACATTTAATAAAATAAAACACGAGAAGAGGAGGATTAAGTTGTTTAAAACTTGCTGTGTGTGTGTGTTTTGTGTGTGCATTTAAGTAAGAAGTGATCATTAAACAAACAAACAAACTTTGAGTTTCTCTGAGAAGGGAGAGACCATATTGCTCAGGAGTCTAACTGAAAAGTTTATGAATACCAACAAGCTCAAACTTTATACTTAAACCTTTTGTGGTAAAGCTACAACAAACTATTAATCTTCTAGACTGAGCAAGTAATCAGTTAGTCTGTAAAATGTCATAACATAGTGAGGAATACCTGTCACAGTTGCCCAGGTTGACATATTCAGATAGTTTCAGTTCTATCTACAGTCCTCAACCCAACTATTTCAGTTTATTATTATAAAAACAGTAAATGTTAACATTTAATAAAGGGGGAACCACTTCATTTTTGTCATTTATGGCTTTTAAAATGACTTAAATGATGAATCGGTTATTGAATTTTTAGTAGATCAATTGTTCTACCGATTTACTTATGCTCAACTTTACTTTAGTTACTTGTAAGATAAACTTTATTGATCTTCCACAGGGAAACTAAAGCAGCAGAAGTATAGGAAAATATGCATAGTGACTTAAAAAGTACTATATACATTGTGAGCATCTAATATACATAAAATGGAGGATGAAAACCTAAAATAAAAAATACTAAATGAGTGATCAGTAGATCATCTGCAGTTATGTTTTAAGCAGACATGCCTAAACCTTCTCTGGTTTCCAATGTGTGCATTTGCTGCAAGTCTTTATCTTATGTGAGAAAACTAAATATTAATTGAAGAAAATAATAGTCTGATTAATTGATAATCAAAATAATTTTCAGCCCTACCAAATAATTCACTAGTAATACATTTACAGCAAAGTGTTTTGTGATGAGAAGTTGTCGTTATAAAATATTAAATTGTACTTGAGGTAATGAAATCAGGTAGTAGGTGAAGTCTCTGCATTTGGCAGCGTTAGCAATTTAACCATAACGGGGATGTGTTGGGTGAATGATTTCCCTTCAGTGTCACAGGGTATCCCGTCACCACAGCAGCAGTGGGAAAGCTATCGTGAATCCCAATAATCTGTTGGCATCTCATTCAGTCACTAACATCAAAGCTGCCCTGTCATAGAAACTACTAAAGTGGAGCCACATCTGTTTTATCCATCACTTTTATCTCTCACTCGCATGAACACACACACACACACACACACACACACACACACACACACACACACACACACACACACACACACACACGTCAGTGTTCGCTTACATTTTTGGCTGGCCTACATTCGGGGCCCCATCACTACACAACTGTGTTTAAAGTAGAAGTATGAATGTAAACACACAGTAACTATTGCTGTAAATCAGTCAGGCTGTGAAGAAGTGAATGCAACACTGAGCACAGATTTGTCTCAAACTTGTTGTAGAGTAAGACCCTGATATTTTATGATTTTATGGTCAGTTCAGGAGTTTGTGAAGTTGTTCTGCTTTAAGGCTCTGCATTAGGCATTTTCTGCATCATGAATAGGCAAAATTCACAACAAGCTCTGGTTAAGAACAAGGTATAATTCCTATGATAATTCACAAGATTGCGGCACTTTGAAGTCTGTCCTGGCCTCTGTCTGCTCTCTGTTTTCCCCTTTCTTTCTCACTCTCTTTCTCTGGTGTTCACTTTGCCTCAGATTGACCTTCAGTTGTCCCCGGGGGGTATGTTCAGGTCGATACCGAGGACTTCTCTGGTCTGTCCAGCAGACAACATGGATGAGTGGAGCCAGACAGACAATCTCCCCGCAGATATAGATCTCACTCACATTACTGCTGCCCATAATAGGCATGGCATTGCATCTCCAGCAGACAAACATTCGCTGAAGCTGGACATGGGCTGCCAGGAAGTAAACCAATCAAATCATATTGTCACCAGCTAGCCAAGCTTGATTTTAATCACGAGATGCTGGTGTAAGTGCTAACAGGGGGGAGGATACATCAGGTCATGAGACGTCGTAATAGTTAGGGAGGGGGTCAACAACCTTCCTAGCCAAAAAGCAGAACCAGTATGTGTATATGTAGTATGTAGACTGGAATATTTGAGTCCAGTTGCTCTCCAGCTTGATAGTGGAGACCTGATCATGTAACCTGGGCTACAATGACACTGCAAGTCTTAGT